AACACTTCATAGTTCTGCTGGGGGCTCCCATGATGCACCTCTCCCCCCTCTAGGGGGGCTCCCATGATGCACCTCTCCCCCCTCTCTCTCAGCAGGGTCCTCTCTGCCCCCAGCCGGGCCACAGAGACGGTTTTGGTTCTGATGGAGGTTTCTTCCCGTTTAAAGAAGTTCTTTCTTCTCTGTGTCGCATCACTGGGACTGTTTGGACCCAATCTGCTGGTTTCCTGAGCTCAGACACTCTGCATGAATTTGACTCATTTAAAATGTGAAAAATTTAATTTGTTTGTACGACTATTTTTGAATATCTCAGATTGATGGCTTGGATTGGACTGGATCTCTGAAGGGCCTCCAGGTGACGTCTGGTGTGACTGAAAGTGGACCGAATCTAACTGAGCCTTGTAGCACCAGCAGAGAGAGGAGAGCCCCACCAGTTTCCTGTCCCTGAATTCTCTGACCTTGCTGACCGTTTGAAATGCCTGTGGCCAGCCGGGCTCGGACTCTGGAGCAGGATCACCTTGCGTGGCGGCTTTGTGGAGGTTGGCCACGGGGATGTCGGCCGTCTCGCTGCGGTTGCTGGGATACGGCTCGGTGAAGCCGTACATGTGCAGGAGCTGCCCGTTGGCCATCTGCCCATAGGTGTTGAACACCTCCTCCCCCTTAGCGATGCGGCGCACGCAGACCATCTTCAGACTCTCCTGGAGAAAGAGAGGAGGCGGTTTCCGTCTGGAAAATGTTGAGGCGGGAAACGCAAAGCGAGCGCCTGCTCACGGCGGTGAACTCCAGGTTGGCGTTGTGATCGGACACGTGGTTGAGCATATCCGCCATGGGGACCATCACCGGGGGGTTAGGGGCCTTCTCCTCCTCCTCCTCATCTTCATCGTCCTCTTCCTCCTGAGGCTCCTGAAAGCTACAGAGAAGAAGAAAGACCAAGGCTGAATTTCGGAGGAGAGAAAAAAAAAAGACAGCCTCCCTCCTCTGGAGCCGGCCGACCTGTACGCCATGACAAAGGCCACCAGCTGCGTGTACAGCTCCAGCGTGTGCGTGTCTGGGCTCCACAGGTCCGGATGTCGGAGCATGAAAGGCACAACCACTTCTTTGTACTCGCGCCGGATGTTGGATAAGTCCGTGTCCACCAGCTCTGGGAGGCCTGTCCCCCTCAGCAGCTCCGCCCGCTCCTCTCTGGACCTGAGGGGGGAGGGGGGGGGGTTAGGTTACGGAAAAGCCGGCAGCAGACCTCTGAGACAGGAGGTTAAACCGACCAGAACATAGGCTGGTCCAGCGCTCTGAAGTCCGGCCACAGCGAGAGGTACGGCCTCCAG